TCATTCAAAATTTAGGTAAAATTTATCCAATATTATTGTTGTGATCGCGCGATTCCGAAATATTGAATAAAATATACAATCTCAAATTTTACAGTATACTAGGTCCTAGGCTGTTTTTTCATCATTGTTTAAAAAGATGATAAACAAATTAAAAAAGAACTTTTAAAGAACTGCCATGTGAAGAACCTCATAAGATGAAAATGTCATTTAGAAATTTTTACATTTCAAACAAAATCTTCTGACAGGAAAGAAATCAAAATTTGGTGAAAAAGTACTTAATCAACTTAAATTTTCTAAAGATCACTGTGTTTGAAAAAAGTTCTAGGCTTATCTCTTTAAAATGGAATAAGACTGGGATAAAAATGAAAAATTCAGAAAGACAAACATTTATTTTCAACTTGTCATCAGAGGCGGATACAGGGGGGGGGGCAGGACTTTTGCATCCCCTGACATATTCAGGGGGGCGTAGGCCCTCCCCCTTAGATTTCGGAATAGCTTCTCAATAGCACTTAAGGGAAAGAAAACCAAGTGCAAATCAGGAAAGTCAAAAAAAAAATTTCGTCTTCAGCACGTCTTTTTGTTCCTAAATCTGGATTTTTTGTTCCGAAATAAATCTAACAGCCCCCCCCCCCCCACATAAATCCTGTATCCGCCCATGCTTATAATTTTTGTACGATTTTTTTCTGGGAAAAAATGAAAAATAAATTTAATTTCATGCATGGAGTAAAAGGGATACCAACATCTTTGAAAGTTAATAAAAGTTAAACAGATAATTATATGTTTTTGTAATGTGCATCATGTTTTGGGTCTCACTGCAGAGCTTCCAGAGAAAGCGCCTCTCAGCGTCACAATATGCTTTTATATAATATTTTACATTAAATAAGATAAGGTGACACAATTGTAATTTTTCTAATCTCAAACAAACCTAATTTGTTTTCAGTTATTCAGTCATTAACCTTCATCATGGGTTCATTAGGTGAGCTAAAATTTAAAAAAAATAAAGAAAAAAATTAATGATATTTCCACTGACAGAGGGGAAGGTGTACTGCTTGTTTGTACTGCTTTGCATGGTGTACTCTGTTTATTCACAAGCTGATGGAAATCCTCATGTATGTATTGAAATTTTGAATTATTTTTGTTACGTATTTAAACAATAATTATGAATAAACATATTTGTTGCAAATCAGGGTCTGCCGATTTCGAAAAATGTTCTTAACCCCAGTCTAACATCTAAAAAGTGCAAAAAAAGAGAAATCTTAAAATATGAAGACAAATTTTAACAAATTGTATTTAGCTATGTACCTACTTCTCAAAGACAGAGACTGTACAAACGAACTGAAACTCATATAACATGATGATACCAAGGTTTAATTAAGTATTTTCCTTGAAAATAGTCTTTTAATAACAACTTCAAGGACATGGCAGAGAAAGAAACAAGTTTACATTTGCAGATAATCGTAATTTAATCAAACAGACAGTTTACATTCCGTACAGTCGTCTCTGAAATCTCATCCTTTGTGGGCAACCCTGTGCAATACATACACAAATGAATTGAACCTTTGCCACAAACTCAAATTTTCTAATCCCTACTTCTTTACAACCTGACGGTGTAAACCTTTAATATTTCAAAATTATAATATTTTATCTATAAGTCTTCATAGTTTGAAATATCTAAGCTCTTCGACATTGGGTTGCAGAGATATAGGGATTGAGAAATCAGAGTTTGTGACAAAGACTCAATTTCTTTGCGATATAATAAACAGACCGGCCATTTTAAATTCAACACAATTAATGTGTTAAAAATAGAGAAGAATATTAAAAGAACTCTGTTGAAAAGGTGACATCTTTTGATATAAATTTTTCCCCATTTTGAACCCTGTTCTTCTTTTGCCTTATTTTGAAGCCGAGGCTTTTGATACATATTTTACCCTATTCTAAAGCCGGTTCTTTTGGCACTAATATTGCCACATTTTGAAGTCGATGCTCACTCCTATTTTGAATAAATGCCCATTGCTCAGGGTTGGGATAGGAAGAGGAGATGTGATCAGCAGGATTATGAGATCCCATGTGGGCCTTGTGAAGGTAACAATGCTTGCAAATGATAAAGGGTTCCCATGTGCCAGTTAATCAATAGAGGATTATGATTTACCTGAAGCTTAAATTTTTGGGAAAAGTTTTTCAGATTTTTATTCAGCTGTAAAGTTAAACATAACTCTAGGTGTTGGTGGAATAGCATATTGAAGTTCTAATGAAGAGATAGCTCTAACCAGCTGTGAAGTTACATATATTCCAATAGGTATTGGTGGAATAGAGCATGGAAGTTCTGATGAAGAGATAGCTCTAACCAGCTGTGAAATTACATATATTCCTATAGGTATTGGTGGAATAGAGCATGGAAGTTCTAATGAAGAGATAGCTCTAACCAGCTGTGAAGTTACATATATTCCTATAGGTATTTGTGGAATAGAGCACGGAAGTTCTCATGAAAAGATAGCTCTAACCAGCTGTGAAGTTACATATATTCCTATAGGTATTGGTGGAATAGAGCATGGAAGTTCTAATGAAGAGATAGCTCTAACCACCTTAGAAGTTGAACATATTCCTAGGTATTGGTGGAATAGCATATGGAAGTTCTAATGAAGAGATAGCTCTAACCAGCTGTGAAGTTGTTGGATCAGCTGAGGAGATGCCGGAACCCAAACCTGTAGTCTGGGGAACACAGGTACAAAAGATACAAGCTGTAAGAAGAAATTCTATCATACTTTTTGACCTATCTAAAAGATCAAGGACAGTTTTATAAATAATAAAAATCTTTGTGACTCCTGTTTAGTGAATTAGGCCAATCAGAGCCAAGTCTATCCAAAATGTTTGGATTTGCAAAGACGTGGAGTGAAAAATTGTACAGCCATTGGGAACACTGGGCACAAGGCAGACTGTTTGTTCATTATATTCTGGGGTGGTTTTCTTTAGTAAGAACAAATTGATATTTTATGAATATACTTTCTGTGAGTGTTTTTCAAGAAAATTTTATTTTATATAAATAGTTTTCCGTCTAAACAATTTAAGTACTTTAATATTTAGTGGACCCTGCCCTTGGCTTATGAGATCCTTATTGGAAAGAAAATGGATCCATTCTGCTTCCAAACCTTCCCTGGAAATGATTCTGTAAGTTTAAATCTTAGCATTAGTTCAAGATCTAAGAATTTAATTCTTGCTATCAAGATTTAGAAGAAAACTTATGGATTGTTTGCAACTGTTATCGTATCAAAACTTGTATAATTTTGTTCCTTTAATCACATTTTTATATGTAGGTAGGAGAGTTGTGCTACAGGAAGCAAACTGGTTCCAAGGCATACGACATGATCAATGCCAAAGCTATCAGGTATAATTTCAAAGTGTATCAGAAAAAAATCCATATTTGGAACCAAATTTAGTTGTGTATATTGCATCCAAATCATTAACATTCATATATAAGGCATTCTGTTTAGACATTAAATCAAGCTGAATTTGAATAAAAATTACAACATTTAAAAAATAAAAAAATGATGGATGTCTTCACAGCATTTATTATCTCCATTAGTAAACCAATAACATGAAGATCTTCAAGCAGTTTATTGGATAGATATGAAAGAAAATAATGAAAATGTCCTATTATTTTCCAGGGAGGATTTGGAGCTTGAAACCCCTGTTGGAAACATGACATCTGTGATCATTCATCAGGTGAATAAAGAACTTCATTCATACAAAATTAAAAAAAAGGCATATGAGCAATGAGAAAAGGGAATTAACAATCTTACTTACCTACTTATAGGGCTTGGAAAAGTTCCGTTAATGAAACGGAGGTTTTCGAAAATTAACGGAAGAGTTCGCTAAGATTGGCAAAAACCTTTAATTTTTAGATCATTAAAGAAACAGATAGCCATTTTTGAAAAAAAATTAACAGTTTAAAACATTAACTGAAAAGCTAAAAACGGTGAATTTTGTTATTTATATGATCAAAGTTGCACGAATTAAAAAAAAAAATTACCCGTTTTGATGTTTTTAAATGTGTTTACAAATCATTAACAATTAATGATTTCTAACTGTTAACAAAATTTTTTATGTTGTTAACGCCATTAATACTATATAAACAGTTAACAGCTGTGCAGTTAACAATTTTTTTAACTGTTAAGAAAATTTTTTCATATTGTAATAACAGTACTATTAATGACAGAGCTGTGCAATTGTTAAAAATTTTCCGTTAGCGCCGTTAATAAAATTGAGATTGTTGACTTATGGTAATCTAAAAAACCGGAAAATGCCCTTAGCGGAACAAACATTCCGTTCTTACCTCAAATTAAGGGCTAACTGAAATTTTCATTTTTTAACAGTTCCAACTAACCGTTAACAAAACGGCTAGATAAAGTTGGAATGTGCCCAGCTCTACTTACTTAATCCTTCTTTATTCCTTGTGAGACTGAATGAAGGCTGCTTGAACTCTTCTATTAAATTCTTGTCTGTCCTTTTTAGCCCAGGAAAGATTCATCTCCTTAAGCTTTCTATTCCTATTGCGTCTCCATGTGGTCTTATATTGACCTGGATTCCTCTTTACAGGCAGTCCATTCAGGCATTTCTCCCTAGTGAGATAGTCAGTATGAGCGAGAAGAGAATGCTTATTAACAATCTGTGGAATATTTAAATAGGCAAATTTTCTCTTGAGAACTGATGCAAATTAATAAAGATTTTATAGGGCAAGAACTTCTGGATTGTGAATCATCTGCCATGGTATGCTGGAGGAATTCATCAATGCATCTGTACTGATATCAAAGAAGGAGGTGCTGGAAGCCAGGTATAAAAACCTCAGTTAATCAATCAATCAATCTTCTATATATACTTTGCTTGTCTGTTTGTTTGTTTGTGTCCAATAAATGTCAAAACAGCTAAACAGATCGGACCCAAATTTTGTGCGGGACCTCACATGACCACAGGGAAGATTTATGGATGATCAAAATTTAAAAAAATTAGCCTCCAACTAAATTTTATTTTCCCTAAATTTTGTTTGTTTTTGTTTTACAGTGTATACAAAAAGAAAATGTTCATGAATTAAATAGAAGATGGGCGTGAAGTGCCCCAAAAGCCAAGTATTTAAAAAAAATTGGATTTGTAAACCTTTTTTGTACAGGTTTACTACCCTGTGCAGTACAATTGGGTTGAGAAGCTTGTTTACATTGGTCGGGAGATTCTTGGTATTGAGTATGTAAACACTGTTGCTGAAGTCGATCATTGGGCATTTGGGCCTCATCATCTTTGGACTTATCCTGAGACAGGAGATATCATCAGAATGTGGCAGCCTTTTAACGGTCTTCAGATTTATCCTACTAGCGTAGGTAATGATCCTCAACGAGGGCTAACCTGACTTTATCATGTTTTGGGTTCAGCCATGCACTGTTTGAAGAAATCCAAACATTTGATCATGACTAAAATACTGAAAGCATTTCAATATTATGGGAACATTATGTTTAAAAATACTAGCTGAATATTTAGGGAATTTACGATTTTACAATTCTGTTTGTAATTTTCAACGAGATGTCTGTTAAAACTAAATGATTACTTTTGTTTGATATCAAGAACAAAATGTAAGGGGTTTTAATTCACAAGATCAATCAGTTTCTTTCTGGTATAATTTTCTTATTCAAACAGGTAACAATGAGGTTGATAGCTCCTTGTTCGAAGATATTCCTCCAGAACTTTGCAAAGCTGGTGGAGCTATCCTCAGAATAGGATGTGACGATGAAGTAAGTTTTCGAAGCAACTATCTAATTAGAAAACTCTATTTTAGTAAACAAAACTTTTTATTGTGCTTACAGCAAAATAGTGCATTTAATTATACGTTTTTAATACCAATTTGATAAGTTTCTTTTCTATTAACAGGGTTATCCATTACCGGATGAAGAAAGGAAGAAGATAGCTGAACAAAGAGCAAGAGATGTTGTCAAAGGGAAAGATACAGCTAGAGCTTATGAAAAGGTTCCCCGGGGACACTATAAAGGTGGGAAATTACTACAAAGTTTTGTCCTAAGAAAGCTTAATAATTCTGTAAACTTCCTTTGCATGTGTGATAGTTATTTTTTTTTGTAAAATTCTGTGTTTACACTTGTTTTTTAGGGTTGGATTTTGGTGAGATGTCTTCAGTATTAAATGGTTGGTTAAACAGTTCCGTGCTTGCTTCTCCATGCAGTTTCTGGAAGGTTGAAGAGATTCAACAGCTTCAAGCTCTTCTTTATCTAGCCAGGTAGATTCATAGTAGATTCATGATTATAAAATTAGGATACAACAACTTAAAGTTTTTTTACCTAGCCAGAGGCTTAAACTTTCGGGCCTGAACTCTATATTTAATTATATCGATATTTAAAATTGAAGATTTATAATTTGATTTTGGAGATACATTGGAACTCTACAAAAGATAGGTCTCTTATTGGTCTTATCTCTAAGTTTTGACCAAAGAATGATCTGATAAACTACCTACAAGGAGAGAGTTATTTTATCTTATTTTAGTCATTTTGGTTTGGTTTGCATAGAGATTTAGTCCCATCTATACTCAGTCTATAATCAGGCGGATAAGACCATAGTAATCTGAAAGGTTAAGAAAGAAAACAGTTTTATGTTCTACTCCTCCTAGATAAATATGGGTCTTATATAATTGAATACCAGTTGGTTCCTTAACTTTGAATGCCATGAATTGCACTAGATATGTAATTTCTTAGGGAGTCTCAGTTTGACAGTATTTATCAAGATAGCAGCGATAACAGAAGACTCAGATATGAAACTCTAAAGGTGGGTTGGATAAAACATATACATATGAATTGACACAAATACCATCTATTTTAAATATGTTTGTGATTTGATTGCTTTTGATGATATTGATGATATTATTCAAGACAACGCTTCTGATAATTCGTACAATAATGAAAATATTGATCCAGAGATTATGTTATGCCCATAACAAATATGATAATGAAAAAAATGATGTCCATCTCGGTGATGTCTGATGACTGTTCCGGAAACAGCACTAATCCTATTGTTCTAGGACCTGGAAATGAACTGGGCTAGTTTAAATGAACTGGCAAATGATCACAAAGACTCTAGATTTAAACATGTCAGAAGAGATGGACACTGTCATGAAGCTGTCATGTGGTATGTTCATCATATTTCCCAGGTATGTTCATCATATTTCCCAGGTATGTTCATCATATTTCCCAGGTATGTTCATAGATTATGCTTTTTTTAAGAAACAGTTTAAGATATTTTCATGCAATGTCATGAAAAAATTGACTTGGGGCTTCCACTTCATATTTGCTCAAAACTCCAAAGAATGTTAGTAGTTCTATAGTTTTTGGCAGGGATGGGTGATCTGAATGGAATGAATGAAACCATATTTGTTCAATGACCATAATAGGGAACTGCACTTTTTTCAATCTCTAATCACTATATTTTTGCAACATGATCGTGTAAACCTGAAATTTTAACCTTTTTTGATCTGACAGAGTTCATAATTTCTATTCCTAAGGATTATGAATTGAAGTTGAAGGTTATTATATGATAGGATATGAAAGATATTCTGAAGAACGCCAATGTACCGGTTCCACTGTTGTCCCCGGCCCGGCACGGCCTGTGCTACTCCGAGCTAGAGGACCCGGTCGGACAGAAAATCTGCGGAGCGTACAAGGAACAGGTACAGTACAGGGACCATGTATAAAGTACAGAGAACAGGCACATTAAGGAAACCTTTAAAGGGAAGTACAAGGATATCAGGTAAAGTCTAAGTGACATGGTCAATATAAGGAGTATGTACAATGTACATAAATTGTACACTTTACAGTGCAAGGTACCATGATGAAGTTAAAGAAACAGGTACAGTGAATAAGTACACTACAGGAAACATTTAAAGTAAAAGAAAAATATACAGTACAGTACAAAACCGTTGATTGTATGCGAAATTAATCTGTGACCTTGTAACTCTTACGTTTAATTGAATATAAAAATAATTTTTAGAATTTTCAGAAGAAAAAAAACATTAGACTTTTGCGTAATTTTAAGATATTATAATTTAGGTAACATGTGCATCCTGCCACTCTAATGAACTACCACCAACATTGTAAATAAAATCATTCTTGTAAACTGATATTTGTTCATACTGAATAAGAGAATTAAGTACACGTCGTAAATATGTTTATTTGAGAAAATTGTTTCATAAGGTTTTTACTTTGCTTACATAAGAATATCATTTGTTTACAATTTACTGTTATCTTCCCTCTGAACAATTGAGCAAGATACGCACATTAAACACCAAAGAAAATTAATGAAGGTTTGTGTGCCATCAGACATAAATCTAAGAAAATAAGATTAGAAAAGAATGTTGATGTAAAAAAGAAGAAAAATTGTGTGAAAACCTTCAGATGTAGAAAAGTTACATTAAAAAATAAGAAATAGTTTTATAAGAATTTGTAGTCACTGGATTTATTTACTGTTTTCAATACTTAGCTATCAATAAGTTCGATAAAATATTACAATCATGAGAACATTATCTTTCAGAATGATTCTTTTTGATATTAGTTTTGTGATTAAGTTTGTACAGTGTACAATGATCTTGTTAATATTAATAAATTCTTGTACAAATTATGTACACAGTACAGTAGTACTAGAATTAAAGTAGCGTACAATATCTTACGAGGCCATTTTATTACCTCGGGGTTTAAGGTGTATTTAAACTTTTGTTTTTTACTTTTATTTTTGCTCTCAAAAATAAATATGGGATAATTTTGTTTAAATGAGAGGTAAACTCAAGGTGCTTTATTTCTTAGAAAAGATTTTGTAGCTATAAGCTTATGCCCTGCAGGATGATAAATGGAGCTAAGAACTCAAATTGAAAACCAAATACCAATGAGTTTAACAACTGAACAGCTCTATCATAATAAAGGAGCTGAGATATGTAAAGAAGAGCAACATTCACTGAGCTGCAGAGGCCATCGGCTCCATAAAATAGTTTCAGAGGCCATCAGCTCCATAAAACAGTTTCAGAGGCCATCAGCTCCATAAAACAGTTTCAGAGGCCATCAGCTCTATAACACAGTTTCAGAGGCCATCAGCTCCATAAACAGTTGCAGAGGCCAAAAGCTCCATAAAAACAGATGGAGCTAAGATCTGTAAAGAAGAGCAAATATAGAGACCGCCAGGAGCCCCAAACTGCTCCTTACTGTTGATGATCCAAGCTGAAAAAGAAGATTTGTATAAAAAAATAACAATTAAAGGAAAAAATTTACTTTAAAAAAAACTTACCGTGACATAATAATTACATCTGTCCCCCTGACAACATTCCGCACACTTCCAATCCTCATACCTTAATAATCAATCAATCAATCAATCAATCAATCAATCAATCAACCTATCATTTAAGCTATCTGTCAAAAAAAACATTCACTTAGTAAGTTGGTAAATATTATCTAAAACTATAAAGAACATCTTCAAAAGTACAAATTGTAAACCTCACAAAGGATCATGTAAAGAAAACGGGTCGTTGCCACATGCCACAGGATTTAATGCAAGGAAAGTTATTTCAGAAGTGTACGCATGTTTTGTACTGCAGTGTACTGTCACTGGGCTGTAATATAAACACAAGACAGATGTCACAGCCTGACATGGGATCCATCTTTCACATATAAAATCGATGGTGGTCAAAGGAAACTCTTATGTGAATTAATCATCATCATCATCATCAAAATTGAATGCTTTTAACCTCCTCGGATACTAAACGAACACTGAGGCATCTATTCTTGTTAACAAATTCCGCCCAGAGAGAACTGGTTTCAATATGTACGCAGAGTATACGCAACTGCAATTAACTTTCCTTGCATTACATTCTTGGTTGCCACAAAGTCTTATTATTCTAATTCCTATATCATTGCAGATCATTGTAAACCATAAATATTTCAGACTGCAAATTCTGTCAGATCAAACAATCAAAATTGGAAATTTAAAGTGTTTACACCGTCAGATTGCAAAGATATAGGGATTATAAAATTTGACTTAATGGCAAAGAATCGTTTTTTTAATAGAAAATCACATTTTTTTTCACATCAATTTGAATTTCTCACCCCTAATTATTTATTTTATTTAATTATTTTTAAATTACCAGATGTAATGGCAGAGGGTCATACTCTCTTTTATTATCCGTGTACACTCGTCTAGTCTAGCACATCTAAACATAAACAATAAATAGAAAAAATTCTAAAAATCTTAAAATTACAAAAATCAATAAAAGTCTTCATCAAGGATAGAAAAACAAAAATAGCGGTTAGTATTCTTAGAAAATATATTTTCTTATAACACCCCACATAATAATAATAATAATAATAATAATAATAATAATAATAATAATAATAATAATAATAATAATGATAATACCTATCCTCCTCATATTTGCATGTTTTGACTGTTATTAAACATTTATCCTCATTTCCATCCTGATTATCACATACGTAGCACTGCAGTCCAGAAACTAAAAAAAAGATTGAAGTTTAAAAAACTCTCGTGTGACAGAAGTATTTGTTAGTTTTTACACAATATGTTTACACAATATGTTCACACAATATGTTGGGGTACCAGCTTTGTCTGGAAACTCAAAACCAAACACATGACTGAACCCTGATTGGATCAGGCGCTAATGAACTCGGCATACGAGAGTTTGTAGTTATTTGTAAAACTCTGACCGAAGACAAACTGGGCTTTAGTGAAGAGTGGATTAAGTATATTAATGTTAATGATTTTGAAAATTACTTGTGCATTTAACTTTAATTGCAGGAAAACATGGATATATAAATTATCCAAATTAAATACTTTTACAACTAAAAAAACAACAATATCTTTAGTATTATTGATCAGAAAAGGTTTCAAGGGAACTGTTGTGAATCGAGCATTGTCATCTTTGTCTCTAAAGATGACGCTTACAGTCCCTTTCAGTTCATGATGAGTTTTTAAATCCTTTTATGCAACAGAAAAGGTTTCCAAGGTAAGGTCGCAAAGTCGTACTGGTTGACATCTTAAAAACTTATTCTTACAAAATAAACTATAGAAAGGACAAAAAAATGTCAAGAAAAATTTCATAAATATATTTTTAGTTTAGAATCTTTTTTACGCTTTATCAATCTTTAATCATAGAATTAGGTTCCTTTGTCCCGATGGAAGCATTTTGACACGACACCACGATGTCAAATTAAAGTAAAAGAATTTGAGTTTTGTCACTAACTCAAATTTTCCGATCCCTATATTTTTGCAACCTGAGAGTGTAAAACTTTGATCTTTTAAACTTTTAGTATTTGATCTAACAAAGTTCACAGTTTGAAATATCTAAGGTTTATGACATTGGGGGGTTGCAAAGATAAACGGATTAGAAAATCAGAGTTTGTAGCAAATAATCAACTCCTTTCAGGTTAGATTAAAATCTTAATGTTTTCAATTAACATATCTCTTTTTTCCCTCGTAAAGCTGTTGAGAAGAAGAAACAAAAAGTTTACAATTTCTTATAAACAAATCAAGGTTATAATTCAAGGAAAGTTATTTCAGAGGTGTACGCATCTTTTGTATTGCAGAGTACTGTCTCTGGGCGGTAATGTAACACAAGACGGATTCACAGCCTGACATGGGATCCATCTTTCACATATAAAATCAATGGTGGTCAAATGAAACTATTATGTGAATTATGAAAATTATGAAAATTAAAATTAAATGCTTTTATCTTCCACGGATACTCAACGAACACTGATGCATCTATTCCTGTTTACAAATTCCGCCCAGATAGAACTGGTTCCAATATGCAGAGTATATGCAACTGCAATTAATTTTCCTTGCATTATAACCTCTGGGCGTACTAATTCAATATTTGAGGAACTGGACGAGGTCTCAAAGTTGAACCAGTAAATTCGAATGAATTTTACCTTTTCTTTATCGTCTACATTGTCGTGAAAATTTCTGGTTATCACTGTACATTGTCGTGAAAATAATCTATGGAACATCTTTTGTTTTTGTTTATAGATGTTTTAGTTATTTATTGCCATTGCTGCAGTGCAATATTTTAACCCAATCAATATCTTATATAATTCACAGTTTTTAAGTAACTTAATTAAACATGTATTTTTTAATAAAACGCTTTTATTAGCTGATGGAAACTAAAACAACCTTTTGTTTATACAATCCAACAATTTCCGATTAGAAAACAAGTTTTTGTATATTATATATAATACTTTTTAAAATAACGTTTTTTATTTTTATTTTCCAATTTTAAAATGTTTTGATTTTTACCTGTGTTTATTATTATGGGTAGGAGGGAGAGAATTTGCAGTACGTTTGTTTTCATTTTGTTTATTTTCTACAGTTTGTTTACACACAAGAATGGAAACAAGATTTCAAACCATATTCATGTTGTTTATATCTGTCTTGTATCATGTATGGAGCGTAATATAGACAGGTAGACAGGTATACTCAGGTATGGGATGGTAAAGGGGGGGAGGGGAGTTCCCATTTAGTAAATTTCAATTTAAAGGGGGATTTTTGTAGAAAATACTTTTCAGATTTATTACTCTGAATGTTACAAATAGTTTGACAGGTTTCTTTATCGAAAAAAAAAGAAGTTTAAAGCAATAATTTTTAATTGTTAACGTACATATAATTAAATTATCTACATTAGTTTTCTGGACTGTGTTAAGTATATAAGAAATTTTTCTCAAGGTAAATTCTTGAATTTCTTCTCTTAATTTCAACTTAATTTCCCTCTTTTTTTATTGAAGTAGTTCATTCAATATCTATTTTTATTTTTTATTTATCATTTCAGATTACATTTATTATATCCGTATAATTTTCTTGGAGATATACCTTGTTGTATCCTTCCTAATCCTAAATTTCAATTTCATGGTTTCAACTTTTTAAAATTTTATTTTCTAGCTCTTTACTTTCTAAATTTCTTTTTAATAATTCCGTATCTTAAATTGCAGGTTTTTGTTTGTTTCATAATTTTCTTTCCTAATTTCTAATTCTTTCTTCTATCCTTTTTTAATCTGATTTTTCTTTTGGGAATTAGCAATGTTATCTATTTGACAACATGAAAACTAAAGAGTTATAACAAGATAAATCTTTTCGCCCCCCCCCCCCCTCCCCCATAATTCCTCTTTATGTATTGTAATATCCTTTTCTGAACTGCGTAAACGCAGTAACTTTTTATTAATGTTAAGACATGTGGTTTACGTTATTTCAGTTTTACATTTCTTCAATTTTTTTTGGCATCCTAAGATATTTCAAGCATTGGTGAAGTGTGGTTTTGCTCTAGGTCTAAGTTTCTATCTTGCAGGACGGTTGATCAACAGGTTTCTCCGAGTAGGGTTTAGAGTAGGGAGGTAGAGATATCAAGGTATACAGGTATACACACAGGCTTGGGCGGTTCAAGACCAGTTTCATGCCAGGCACTACAGGCATAAACCAAAACAATACAAGGATACACTCTACAGTTCATGTACATTACTGTACAGGCTTTTATGTACAGGAAACCTGAAATACTGGAATACACTTTGTTAAAACTAAAAGGTAAATACAACACAAAAAAATATCAAGAATTATAAAAAATTATGTAAACAAGCTGTCTAAAGCACAATATAATTTACTTTTAACAAGTTAAAAGTAAAATATGTTGCATGTTACAGTATCAAAACACCGTAATTAAAGTTACTTATACAAAAAGTACAAAACCGTCATTCTTAAGTTGTACAGAATCTTCGTCAATAGATCTGTACGTAAAAGTAACTAACGCGCTGTATACATAAATTGTAATTAAATGGCTCTACATAAAGTTCTCAATACACTGTACAGTCTCGTACCCGCCAAAAAAGTTCTCTGAAACGTTATAAATACACTGTAAATAAACGACATAAAGGCGTTTAATACAACGTTATAAATACACTGTAAATAAAAGACATATAGGCGTTTATTACAACGTTATAAATACACTATAAATAAAAGACATATAGGCGTTTAATACAACGTTATAAATACACTGTAAATAAAAGACATATAGGCGTTTAATACAACGTTATAAATACACTATAAATAAAAGACATATAGGCGTTTAATACAACGTTATAAATACACTGTAAATAAACGACATAAAGGTGTTTTTAACAACACTATAAATACTCTGTAATTGTAAAGTGTAAATAAAGGAACACTATTCAGGTTGAAGGATGGGAGCCAAAAGAGAAGGACGGAGTTGGTTAGTTTGGCTGGGAGTCGGAGCAGGACCAATCCTATCCGCAGTTACAATCCTACTTTACGTTATCATCCTGGATATAGATATACCTTCCGTTAAACCTAGGTAATATATTATATACTATATTCTATTCTATTCTATTCTATTCTGTTCTATTCTATTCTCTCTTCTATTCTATTCTATTCTATTCTATTCTATTCTATTCTATTATGTTCTATTCTATTCTATTCTATTCTATTCTATTCCATTCCATTCTATTCTATTCTATTCTATTCTATTCTATTCTATTCTATTCTATTCTATTCTATTCTATTCTATTCTATTATATTCTATTATATTATATTCTATTCTATTCTATTCTATTCTAGACCTAGCCTGGAGAATGCTGCAGCAGCTATTGTATATTTCGATCATTCTGGAAACATTCTGGCCAGCATATTCCTAGCATTTGTTCTTCTGTAAGTTGATGAAACAAACAAAATTTATCTTTTATTTTTTATGCACTGATTGCCAAAAAAAATGTGTCATTTATTGTTGGAAAAAAAATTTCAAAGATTTTCGACATATAAATTTTAGAATAATTTTAGAATTCAAAAAATTCTAATATTTTTACTTTTAGCCTCGGCCAAAATGCTTCAGAAATCACATTAAGGGAGTCAGTCTTTGCCTCAAACTCAAATTTCTAATCCCCATATCTTCGCAACCCAATGTCGTAGATGTAAGATCAAATAATCTATAAAGGTTTATATCATCAGTTCGTTAAGATAAAAGGATAAGAAATTGGGCTTTGTCTCCAAGACATTGAGTCTTTGTCAAACTTTCCATTTTTTAAAGTATTCAATAACTTTTTATTCATTTTTATATTGCCATTTCAGACAAGAGGAGTACAACCTTCTTGCATTCTGGTTGGTGTGGTGTTGTGTACATGTTCTGGCTGTTATCATCCTTATAATTCTCTCAGTGTACACTGTACTGCCGTACATACCCGGTAGAATTGTACTACACGCTGGATCTCTTCTGATTGCTGTAGTAGCATCTTACATCATGCTGACCGTGTACAGGTATACACGATAGTGTACTGCACTACTGTGTACAAGTAAACAAGATAGTGTACTGCAGTACCGTGTACAAGTAAACATGATAGTGTACTGCAGTACCGTGTACAGGTATACAAGATACTGCAGTACCGTGTACAAGTAAACATGATAGTGTACTGCAGTACCGTGTACAAGTAAACAAGATAGTGTACTGCAGTACTTTTTACAGGTAAACAAGATATTATACTGTACCGTGTACAAGTAAACATGATAGTGTACTGCAGTACCGTGTACAAGTAAACAAGATATTGTACTGCAGTACCGTGTAAAATTAAACAAGATATTGTACTGTAGGCAGTACACGATTTTTTTTTATAAAATCCGCAGGCGCAAACCTTTTTTGTTATCGTTTTACAATGTATACAGAGAGAAAATGTTCACAATTGAAATAGAAGATGGGCGCGGAGCCATAATAATTTCTGAGATTAAAAATCAAATCAAAACGTTTTATTAAAATAGTAAAAATAGCGTTTTTTATTTCGCCCAAATCAAGAAATACCATAATAATTAATATAAGGGTTTTATCTACAGTTTAAATTCGTGCATTGTGATGTACATGTACACTGTACAGGTTACACTTTACTTTTCAACCTTTTTCCCCTCTGTGGAAAGAAAAATTGCTGAAATGTTTAATAATGTTTAAAGAGTTCAAGTGTTTGAGTGATCTTTTGTATTTCAAAATTATTGATTTCAAAGTTAAAAGCTTTTCAAACATAAAAACCAAAAACATTTACTGCATTGACAATTGTTTAAATTTAATTTTGCACGGAAGGGCAGAGAAGAAAGGGATTGAGCTTGACATATAAAAAGGGGGTGTTAAGGATGATTCATCATAATTAGCAACGAAACTTTGCTATTTTATTTTCAATCCAACGCACTCAGGGTTCACTACATTTGTGGTTCAAACTTGATCATGTATTACACCTATAAAAGTCTATACCGTTAACCTAACTAAATCTTTAGATCGACAAAATTAAGAATCTTTAGGTCAAACTTTGAATAAAATCAACTACCCTTAGCTTAAAAAAATGTCTGAATCCTGGACACATGAAGATCATTGTTAAGAAGTTTTAAGATATAATGATTTAATTATTTGTTTTTGCAACGAACCATGCATTTGAGATTTTTTTACATAGAATAATAATAAATTATTTTGGGAGCATTTAAAGTTTTTTTTTTAATAAAAAAACCTGGCTGTGTTATAGCCTAGACCAAGGCAAGCCTTTCATTACTTCGATCTAACCAGTGCAAGACGCATTCGGTTTCTTCTATATTTAATTTAATCTTGTTTTAAACTATAATTCAACTATCTTTAAACTTAGAACTTGTCTTTTCATACTTTATTATTTAAAAAATCATGCGACAAAAATGTATAAAATAGAACAGGAGAAAATTTATGTTTGATACAGGGTGTCCCAATAAACATGGGAATTCAGGGACGAATTCGATATCGTCTTTATAAATAATTCTTCGATTTAGTATAGTGATACCTACTGTGAAAGTCCGTAAGATTTTTGTCTGCTATCCTTACAATTTGTTTGTTTATGTTTTGACTGCATAAGGGTGTACTTAGTATACAAACAGAGTAAACTTGTCCGTCTCCACTTTTCATCTTGTGGAGACATAGACACATCTTTACAGCCATTTACCGTTTTCATAAAATAAACTCTAGCAGACATGATAATATTATGGCTTTTGAAATTAGGTGATAAAATGCAAAATTCATAACAAAGACGATATCGAGTTCGTCACTGAATTCCCATGTTTATTGGGACACCCTGTAGGTACAATTGTGATCGAAAGTCAAAGCTTGCTGGGATAAGGACCGAACTGTCAAATCCGCGTTGTTTAGGAACCAAGCTTAATTTAGTTTATTTTAGGAATGGTGGGCTAGAAGGAGGGATACTTGGTAGCGGAGGGAGACGAGAAGATGATTCAGACTGGAGGACGGGTTTACAGAAACCTCCTCCGGGTCCAAGGAAACCAGCGCTAAAGGGAGAAACTAATTTCATCTCAGGAGAAACCAATTTTCTCTAAACCTTCCGCATCCGCGTATTGCGGTTGCTCCACACCTCTAAACCTTCCGTAACCGTATTACGGGCGCTTTCCACCTCTAGACCTTCTGTATCCGTATTGCGGGCGCTCGGCATCTCTAATTCAATACGGTTTGTTCGGAGGGTTTAGTTTTGAGTTTATCGCGAGTTAGGGTTGGTGAATTAATTATTGTACGTTTGACATTATATCGCGACATGACTCCTCCACCTTAGATCATAATAGGGTCATCTTCCATCGGCTGTTATCAGTCCTAACTATACTTCCTTATCACAGTGACCTCCTAACTGCACTTCCACCCGACACATCATATCCTAACTGTACTTCCTTATCATAGTGACCTCCTAACTGTACTTCCACCCGACACATCATGTCCTAACTGTACTTCCTTATTATAGTGACCTCCTAACTGCACTTCCAACCGACACATCATGTCACTCCTAACTGCACTTCCTAATTTAAAGATAATTAACGTTTTAGCTGCACAACGTTCCCGTGGAGAGGTTTCCGTTTTCTGTCTCTCACATGTCTTGACTTCACATCCCCAGTGGTTCGCGTCCTAACTACTCTACCTCAAGTTCTAATTGTACTGCAATTCCATAGAGTGCTTCTTGTCCTACCTTCTCTTCATTTTCAGATTACTTCATAAAATGGTCTAAAACCTCTCTCCAAATTCAAAATGCTTCGTAGCCAAAATGAGTTTGAGTAATCATTACAGATCTCTTAATTTGTTTATTAATTTTTTCAAACATTGCCCCTACCCCCTTTAAAATGAATAGAAGCAAGTGGTAGGTTGATATTGAATTTTCGCTTTCAATGCTGACACTAAATGTCGTCTTCCATGCCCCGGGTTTATTACCTGTTGCGGTTAATACAAACTGGAAGTGCAGGGTTAGATCTGACCTGAAATATTTCTCCAGAATGAAAACGAGAAGTTGAGAACTCCTATCATCACTTCTCATTCAGAAGTCTTGTAAAAAAAGTATCTAAATTTTTATGAATTCTGTAAACTCTCTTGAAAAGCTTTTGTTGATTTTTACACCATCAAAATTAATCAAGAATGACCCTTTATGCAAATCATGAATTTTATTGATATTATTTTTTATCATTTATTCTTAAATCGAACAAACAAAAGTTTATCTTAATTTGTAGAACTTTTCTTCCAAAATACTCAAATAAAACTTAATGTTCCACATATACATATTCTTAGAATTAATACCTTTTGCATTTGTAAATATCTAAAGCAGTAAACATTATTACAAGTAAACATTTCACAAGTACACATTATTACAAGTAAACATTTCATAAGTACACATTATTATAAGTAAACATTTCACAAGTAAACATTTTTACAAGTAAACATTCTCAATGTAACATTTCCAATATTCACTTATTTTTTTATTTCACTTGTATTTTTTTAAAACGATTTTGTTGTTTTACATCATTTTATGTCACAAAAAAATAATATTTTTTAATTATGTTTTCACGCGTACAAATATTCAATACTCATTCTTACTTCAAGACGTACATAGCATTTTTTATCTATATGTAATGAGAATTTAACCTTAAAAAAGAAACTATTTTGCAAAAAAAACATGGAGATTTATACAATAATCTAAAAAAAAGAATTTATATGTTATTTATAGTAATTTTATGAAATAAAAATATAAAACCAACTTCAAATCAAATCTTTATAATATTTTTGCATTTCTTGCAGCATAATTTGTAAAAAATATTTTTATAAATGTAAATAAACGTCTATTGTATTCATAAGAATAAAATCAATGTGAACCTAAAGAATTGAGTTTTTGCCACAAACTCAAATTCGATATTTCAAGCTTAGACTTTTTGACCGGGTTGCAAAGATATAGGGATTAAAAAATGAAAGTTTGTTGCAAAGTCTCAATTCACAATCAAACTGAAATCAATCTCACAAAATTTTTTATTAGGATATTGCAAATTGCAGACTTCTTAATTGAAGCTAGAAACAAGCGCTGTGTAGAAAAGGGAAATTAATGTTAAAAAGAAAAAACAAAAGAAAAGAAATTTTTATGAAGAAAATATCTAAGAAAAGTAATAAAATAATAAAGAAAGAAATTAAAAGAATAAAAGATAATTGAAGGAATTATAGATTAAGAAGAAAAGACAATCAAATAAGAAATGGAGAAGTTTAAAAAGAAAAAAATTTAAGAGGAAAGAAAAAATGTTTAAAGAAAACGTTTAAGAAAAGAGATTAAGGAATGAGGGAGGAAGGAAGAGAAAGAAGAAAATAAAAGAATAAATGAGAATGGACTGAATTATGGATTTAGCAGAAAAGACAAAAATAAGAAACAAAAAGAAAGATTTAAAGAAAATGAACTTCAAGAATAAATGAGAATGGAAGAAATTATGAATATAGATCGAAGAAAAAGCAAAAACGAGAAAGAGAAAGATTAAAATAAAAAAAATTAAGAGGAAGAGAAAATGTTTCATGAAGGAAGATAAAACAAGTTGAATAATAAATGAAGATACAAATGAATTATGATATATATAGAAAAGATAGCAAAAGTGTTAAAGAAGAGAAGATAAAAAAGAAAAAAATATTCAGGAAAAAAATAAAAAATAAATGCATGAGAATAAGAAATAATAAAGAAATAACAAAGAGAAAGATTGAAGAAGAGGAAAATAAAAGAATAAATAGAAATGGTAGGAATTATAGATATAGAAGATAACACAAAAATGAGAAAACAGAGAAGGTTAAAAAGAAAAATTAAAAGAGGAAAGGAAGAGAAAGCTTAAAAGAAAAAGAAGATAAAAGAGTAACTGAGGATGGAAGGGATTTACGGATATAGAAGAGAAATCATAAACGAGAAAATGGAAAAGGCTGAAAATAACAAAAAAGATAAAAGAGCAGAAAAATATTTGAAGAAAAATTGAGAGATAAAAGAATGAGGACAGAAGAGAAAAAAATAAAAAAAATGCATAAAAGAATAAGTAAAGATAAGTGAAATAGGAAGTAAAAACTAAGAATAATAAATAAATATGATTTAAATGATTAAAAAGATAAAATAAGCATAAAGTCCATGAAACATGATTGAAAGAATTTTGAGAATGGAAGGAAGAGATAAAAGCAGAATTGATGAAAGAAAATGAGATGAAAGGAAAAATTCAAAGAAAAATATCAAGGAATATGTCAAAAGAAAATAGAAAAGAAGGGAAAGTGAAATAGTTTAAGAGAACTTAAAGAAAGATTAACAGAAAAGAAGAATAAAATATAAATGAGAGTGGTAAAAAAAATAAGAAAGAGGTGGACATGAGGTAAAAGGAAATGCTGAGCAAAGGAAACAAAAAAAATAAAGAAGCAAAGTTAAAAAGATAAAAAAAACCATAAATAAAAGGAAAGAAGATGGAAGGAATAGATAAAATAATAAATGATGATGAAATGTATTTTGCTGCAAATACATCTGTTTATAATATTCAATAAGTTGTATCAGAAGAAGTGTTCAAAATAAAAATTTAATTATTTATCATTATTTCTATTGAAAGGAAATATTAAGTACTTAATAAAAATTGTATTTATGAATCTCGTGACAAGTGGTCTAAGATTGCATATCCCATGAAATCCTCCAATTTATAATGTTTCAAGTGTGAAGAGTAGATTTATAACATTTAAAACATGTTCCAAATATTTCTAAAGGAGGAAAGTGTTTAACAGGTGTCTAAAATCAGGTTACAGGGTGTCCCAATAAACACGGGGATATGAGTTTGTCTTTGTTAAGAAATCTAAACATAAACAGACCAATTCTAAACTCTATAAGACATTTCAGCATCGAGATGATCACCGTACTAAATTAAAAATCATTTACAAAGACGATCTCGAATTCCCATGTTCCTTTAGACACCTTATACTATATACTTGGATTTGATAAATCTGTTTATCGATCTAAACAAGTCTAAAGAGAGGGTTTCAAATAAGCCCACAGGGTTTTAAATAAAATGTAACAAAGAAACATAGAGTGTTTAAGAGTAATTTCGAGGACGTAGTGTCAGTATTCAGTATACAGGGTGTCCAAAGAAAATATTACTTCTCTCAAACTCTAATTCTAGAACTTTTAACCTGGTAGTGTCATGCACCTCTGACCCTTTAGTAAAAGTAAATTCAACCTAAAGTCTGACCGCGTCAACCTTGTTGCACCGGCTAGCCCTGTTGAGTGTCTGCTTTAATCACTCAATGTCCGCGCGATACAGAACAAACTGGGACCGGAAAGGTTGACCCGGCTTGGAAATTCAAATGTACTACGTCTGACCGTGGTTTAAACCTTTAATTTGTCAAACTTTGACTATTTGATCTTGCAGAATTCATTATTTGAAAAGGGTCTACGAGATCATGTTTTAGAGATGAAAATTAGAAAATCACAGACTGCAGGAGGGCAATTACTTCGTTTATACAAGCTGGTTTTCAAACGATTGGTCAAAATGTTTTTTTACTTGAATTTTTTTCAATAAAACAAAGGATTTTGTGCTAGTTCTTGTTTTTGTGTACTTTTAGTGAAGTCACATAGATCCAGACTGCTATTAACTAAAGTAGGACTAAGATGCACCATGGTTTCAGTAGAAGAAAATATTTCCATTTACTATTATAGCGCCCATATAAGGATTTATCTCTTATTGGATAATGAGATAGATAGAAAGATAGATGTTACCGCCATGCAATTTCTATTGGTTCACAATAGACAACAAACACAGGACTGAACCCTAATTGGATCAGGCAAAAGATAAGACTAAAATGCGCCTTTTTTCCAAAATGGAACCGGATTAATTAGCCTTTATCATTCTTTAATATCTATTTTGTCTGAGTAAAAAATCTTTAAGCGTTTTAACGGGACTGAAGACGTAATTTCAAGTAACCCTCCATTTATAAACTGACGGACTCACAAACCTACCCGATGAATCTTTATGCAAAATATTTTGTTTTCGGTTTATTTCTCTCTGCTGCAAAAACTCGCGATTCAATTTTATACAGACACCTAAACTGAAAATAATCCATTTTCAGATAGAAAAAGAGAAATATCTTCGTAATTTTTGCTCATACAAAGGTTTGAAGGGTATCGTTGTGAATCCCTTTCAGATCCTTCTTTAATCTTTTTCAGTTTTCAGTCAGTAAATTCACGCAACCTCGTAGACAGAGTATATTTGTTTTGGATTAAATTAGCTTTGGTCGGGTTAGTAGGGTAGGGAGGCTAGGCAAACAAGTGTTAAATGAATAGATAAATAAAATATATATTTATATGTATATTTATGTAGAATTTAAAAATTGAGAAATATACGAACAGAAGAAGTGCGTGAAGAGCAGAAACATCTTTTAAATCAGCGGAAGAAGACGTAAAAAAAGTTTTAAAAGTTCTTAAATTTTTATAAAGGAATGATTTGTTGCCACAAGCTCAAATTTTCCAATCTCTATATTTTGCAACCTGATGGTTTAAACCTTTGGTATTTCAAGCTTAGACAATTTGAAATATTAAAGGTCTAAGACATCGGGTACAGAGTTTGTGGCAAAACTCAGTTTCTTTTGATAAGGAATATTTATCAAGCATT